AATTCATAATCAAATTAAATTGTACTTAACCGAAAGTAAAGTAACTATTATTCTATACATACAACACGTTTTAATAGTAACAAATAAAACTTATGAACTAAAGTGCAAAGCAATCTGATCTCCGTCTAAGCCTTGATTTTGGCGGGTATCTGGAAGCAGGCGGCATCGCCCTCCTTGTCGCCCAGGCCCCAGTGGATCTCCAGACTGACCGTCGGATAGACGGGCAGTATCTTGAAGCTGTTCTTGTACGTATACGTCTCGCCGGCCTTCAGCGGGCAGCCGACTTTCTTCTCGCCCGAGGCGTCGTAGATGTGCGGGCAGGCGCTGGTGCCATAGTAGCCGGGGAAGGGCAGCGGCACATCCAGGATGATGCCCTGGATGTCGGAGGTGAGCTCGGCAAAGTCACGCTCCGGCTTGATCTTCATCGTGATGCTGGCCTCCGAGTTGCGCTTCAGGATGCACTTGTTCTTGGGGCAGTTCGATATGGTTACCTCATCGGGGCCCAGAGCACGTGCTTTGGCTAGAGATGAAGAGATGAAGCAATTTAGCTTGGTTAGCTCTATGTGTGGGCGTGGCTGTTGTGCTTCTACTCACATTTCGGGCATGGCCTCACATCGGTGGCAGCGGCAAAGCCAAGCACTGCGGCGCCCAGCAGAATCAATGCAGAGTTCAACCTCATTTTGCCAAAGTGGAAAGAAACTGTTTGATTAAAACAAGAGAGATTTTTCTGTTATTGGTAAACGAGTACGAGAGTGTGAGAGTGCGACGTGCTCTGCGGAGTGATGGATGTGCAACCAAAAGCTTGACTCAGCAAAAACTAAATAAACAAAAGTCCAACTCAAACCGGTTCGATGTTTGCTCGACTAACGAAAGATCGACCTTGACTTGAGCTTTAAAAACTGTGCAATTGAGCTGACGCCGCGTGGAAGCTGCGGTGAAATGTGCAAGTATCTGTGAGTTGCAGCAACTGCAGTAAAGTTGCTAAAATTTAAGTTAACTCAAAGCAATTTCGATGGCAGTGCGAGAAAGAAGCTGTAATATAGCTGAAGACTAAACTAAAGTTTTTAATCATATAAATAATACTAGACGAGCTATGTGCTTAACAAATAATATCTTTTAGATACTTTGAGATACACTGAGTGTGCATGGCAAAAATCACATTGTTTTGTTAAATAAATATTTGCATAAATATTAAATACACAAATTTATAAATGGCAGACTTTGCGCATGAAATGAACAGACTTTGCACTCAGCTGCAAATATCAAAAGTATCTGGTAGATATTCTAATGGCAATATGTCAAATATATACTTGGTTGAAATTTTAATATACATATCTATAATGACAAAGCTAAATAAAAGCATTGTAATTATAAGTAAACAAAAATTTGCATACTGCGGAATATTCATTAATATTAATATTTTAACAATTCCATAAAAATTTTAAAACGGGCTATGAATAAAAAAATATCTGAGATATTATTTGATAATTTTTTAATTTAAGCACTTTAATAAGAAATATTCATATTTTAAATCTTGAGCAAGATGAGAAAGCTAAAAATGAAAATTAAAGAAATTATTTTTAGTAAAATATTTTTACTTATTTTTTTTTTAGTCTTTTAAGCACTGCAATATTTTAACACTCAAATTATGCAAATGTATATAGATATATATCCAAGGTCGAGCGAATAGCTTTATGTATATATAGCTGACGAGAAACCACAAAATACACTGGCTTAAAACACAGTTGCGATACGGTTACAGTTACACACACGGCTCACATTAGGCGTTTAGTGAATCTTTTAAAATTAAAGTAATTTCAGCTCGTTAAACAAACTTTAAATTCACTTACTATCAAATTAAAATTTTCTGTATTTTTTGCTTTGGCTTGTCGGCTAATTAGTTTTGGACAGTTTATTTCAAGCTGTCCGCGCAACTGCTGAGCGACAACTGAGCGAGTGTCGCGTCGCACAGATACTATATATACAGATACATATACATATGTATGTATGTAGATAGCTGAAGCCAGTTGGGGCAGATCGTATCGATTGTTCGTTGTCTGCCGTCTGCCTAATCGGGCGAGCGATCTGCCGTCCATCTATCTGGTGGGCCTGCTTGGCATGCATGGCAAGCAGAGCCGGAGACTCTGGAGACGCAATTTGAGCAATTGATCGCTTAGTGCTTATTGTGTGTGTGTGTGGCTAGCATGCGTGCCTGGATTGGTCACTAATTGGGGGCATCCGTGACGTTCTAGTGTCGGTTTGATTAGCTCATTGTGAGCACTGACTGGAGCTACACTTGACTTGACTTGACATGGCTTGGCCTGGGCTTGTCCACTGTATCCATTTGCTATGTGTATCTGTTAGATGCGTTAATTTGCACTCGACAAACAGCAGAGCTCATATCACACTCACTATTCCAGTGCAACTCAAGTAAGTACTTCCCTAAAGCCTATTAAGGTTCGCACACAACTGGGAAGTGCTAATGGCTGACCATGGTCAATGCCCAAGTTGTTCAGCTGAACTCTCGGCTGATCGAAAAAACTAACTAACTACAATTTATTACAGAGCCGATGCTCTGAGTAGTTAAATACATCAAATAGCTAGACTTTGAGTCTAGCGAACTGTAGTCAGTCTATTAGAAAGACCTCATAAATATCATCGACTAAACAGAGTCCCCTCATAGATTTCACATGCGTCCCAGTTAAGGAAATCAATCAAATTTTTATAGTTGGTTAAAAGCACTTTAAATGTAAATTCAAATACTAAAAACCTAAACAAGCTTTTCATACCCGCTCACAGCGTGAG